GTTGTCCATTTCCTGACCGTAATGCTGCGAAAGCCCACACGCATGCCATTATTCACTCATGTGTTGATTGCTCGGGGAATGTCCTACAAGTTTATAACCCTTGCTACCGTGTTCACACTGTTGATACAAATTTTCAACGCTTCAAATTTTTTGTCGCAGGACTTATTTGCCAACCTAATACATCCCCCGCTCGCTCAAAGGGATAGTGACCATGATTTTTGGGGCCACACGCGACGAGAAATTAGTGTTAGGTTCATATGTTTCCCATATTCTCCAAATTCAGTCATACCTATTTTTCTGTCACTCATTTGTGAGAATTGAACTAACTGAAGATGTCGCAGTTCGAAATCAATTGAAAAAGTCATAGAGCACTCAGTAAGTAAGCTACCGGGCCAATCCACGTTTCGTGTAGACTAATTTTATCAACCAGTACATCCACTTCTTCAAGAATGGTACTTTTCTGGAAAAAGAGTTGATGTTGCCCCTGCCTAGTACACTGACCGTAATGTTCTCGCAACTAGTGTTCATTTTTGGGGAGAAGAGCAATCAGAAGAAATATGAGTACATGGCACGCAACAGTTCTCCAGTTGCACGTTTTTTAGCGAACAACCAGAGCCCCCTGAAGATTAAGGTAAAATGAGAATGCGCCTTTCGACGGTACGGAGCATTTCTTCATTGCAGATATATTGTAGACGATTCAAGTCACGCAAGAATTTCAGAGGTAGAGACGATTCAAAGGTCACTGCAAGACAATACTGTTCATAAAAAATTATCAGGAAATACCGTAATCCAGGTTTCCTTCTACCTAGAATTTTTCACTCAACCACCCGACCCACATAGGCCTCAAGACCATGTGGAGTAAGGCAGAGTTCGCCTTTGTGAAAAAGGCAAAAGATATTCTGTTCTCGAAAGATACCATTCAATATTATCTTTCGAGCGTATTCGCGATATCGTAAGATTTTTTGGGGTGATAGAGGCCATTAATTGTAAGAAAATACCAACTTTTAAAGGTGTAGGTCATTTTGTTGCCAATTACATGAGAGAGGAAAGCACGTATGGCTCTGTAAAATCTGTCGCACAGTTTTCCTCCCTAGAAAACAGAAGGAAATATAAGGATGTAGAATATTACTGTGAAATGCAACCAGAAGCAGATCCCCAGTAAATCATCTGGTTGAAAAAGATGCAGCCATTGTCAATGTGTCGATGCATAGTAGGCCACTTTGTGTATTGATCCAAAAACAGAAGCCTTAGCTGAGGTCCTTCCAACTATATTGCTCAAATAGAATTTCCGGGTTAAAGTGACGTCGGAATACTTGATGTAGCCGAACAAAACGCTGAGGGGATGCTAGTAACGGATGTCTCACATGCTAATGCTAATGCTACAAACCATAAAGTTTTCGTTGAGTCAGACTTAGATGGAATGGGAGCGACATTCTGCACTCCATCCCTGTATAGTGACAGAGAAATGTTGGAATAAATACTTGCTGATCATCCGTTTCTCCGTCTAAGTCATTCGTTCGATGACCAAGTCATTTCCATCTTCACACATTACTTGGTGGGCCTTTGTTCTGTAGCCCAGCCTAAGCATAAACCCGAGGGATACAGATATCATGATCCAGAAACAGTTAATAAAGCGAATATTTTGAAACCGGAACTTGACCATATTTCTCATAATCCAGTTTCTATTCTTACCCGATGTTCTGAAGTGGCGAAGCGAAACAGCTTCGCACCTTGGTGTTGTGCTCGAAGAAGGCGAATGATGCCGATATTCAGGTAGAAGCACAGTATGAACGGTAGAACTATCGTTATGATGCTTCGGAACCAGAACTAAACATGAAGTTTCAAAGTGCCTATTTTCAAAGTGGAAAAGGGAAGCATTGTATGAAAAAATTGTCATCTCCCTAATATGTTGCGATTAAAGGCACAGTTCACGATAATTTTAGTAATCCAGATTATGATGAAAAGTGGAAGACAAGGTCGAAAATAGTGCGATGAAGGCGGAGAAACTGCGTGAATCGGTGTTTCCAAAGCGAAAAAAGGCTTCAAAGAAACGTTAAAAAAAAGGGCTGGACGAGAATGAGACCAGAAAAATGAAGAAGAGTGGGGCGTTCGGACGAACTATAGAATGTGTCCCACTGCGTATGTGTCTGTCCTGTTGCGAATAACAGACTATGGTAAGGAAAAATTCATTCGCTTATAAGCATAAGCATACAAAGAACCCCTAGTAACAGGAGAAGTTGCTCACCTTTTCCAGCCTCAAGGAGTAGGAAATTAAATAAGGGATTGCGGCAGCAAAAAGAATAACAGAGGAAAAAAGAAGGGGAGGAAAACGTTGCCTCATCACTCGGTTATCAGCTGATTGTGTGTGGGTCCTAGAACGAATACTTGCAACTTGTATTGTCTCGACACTCGTCTTACCGTCTGACGTGACACCGATCGAGAGGCGGGGAAGCTATTGACGTTCCCGCCCAATGTATTATCGTGAACTGTGCCTTTAAGAGAAATCCAGGAGTGGCTTGAAAGAAGTAAAGAAATGGATGAAATCGAGTTGAGAGCAGAAAAAAAAGCGGGTGACTAATTAAGGGTGACTGGTGTATGCAGTGGAACGAACAAGATAGTTAGGATTGACTACTAAGTTCTCTTTTAATGATAGACGCTGACCTTGTAAGCAGTTTTGTATGGTTCTGTCTCGCTGAATTCACTTACAGTGGCTGTCAAAGACGTAACTCCTGTACAGTTCCCGTTTGGAACAACCTGGAATTTTGAATATTTTTACCAGTAAAAGACTTACGTTCGGTATGATCAACACATCTAGTCAAACTGGCTGAGGAAGCTCCCAATGGGCACTAGGCACCTACCTGCACTTCAAAGTACATAGGTAGTTTGGCGATCATTGCGAATACAACCGCCATGAAACAAATGGCTAGGCGATGATGTCGAGCAAACTGATTGCGGATTTTCGAGATGGTGATGTACCTTCAGAAAGCAGCTTTATGGTATCGGATTAGATAACTACTGTAGCAATGATTTAATGTCGAATTTATTCCTATGTCAATACGCATCTTTTGTAATTACGGGCTATTTCATAGGACCTGCTCACTCCTTGTTCACATTCGAATTTCTCCCGTTCTATTGCGTGTCGTTGTGAACTATGGTAACTCATAGATTGATTTTTACGGGACATTAGCTGAGGACTTCAAAGAGCAGGCACTTAGCGAGAGTTGGTAAATTCGCTTCATAAACATTCCCCAAGACCCCAAGACCAACGTTTGGTTAGGTCCCATTGCCTTGAAAAGTATACGAGACTGGGAACACAACAAGTAGGAATGGAAAACATGAACTATGCATTTGGTCCAGGCACTAGTGCTTGTACAACGGCGAGGCTGCTTTATAAAGTTCCTACTGCACGGCTTGTAACAAAATACCACCATCCGAAGTCTACTGGGGTTGGAAGAGGTATTCAAATAAGTTCAAGATCCTCATTATTTTTCCTAGAAAACGTTCCTTCCAGTGCCCGCAGTCTTCCAAGTTCCCACATGGGATTCTATGGAACAAAAAGGAAAGAGCAATTTCTGCTTTCTCATGCTCGCTCACAATAAACGGGTACCTCAGTGGTTTTCAGATGTTCTTGTGAGTAGGAGTAATTCCTCTTCACTGTGGCATTACCTCTCAAAAGCGGCAGCGACAATCAGAAACGCCGATGCCGATATGAACACGTGTGATATCGTGATGATAATTCGCATGTATGACCACCACGCCATAGCCAGTAAATCAGAAGCGAAGTAGTCCATGTAGAGGTTGACGGGAAACAGAAGAATATAAGCTGCTGAAATTATGAACGTTAGGGATTGTTTCATAGCCCTTCGTTGAGGAAAATTGTCTTGAATGGAACCAATGGGTCTGGTTTTTGCGGCGTTTTACAAGAAGTTTTCATTTTCCATTCCAAACCGAGAATAGAAGCTGGTTACCTGCCTACTTGATAAAAATTTTTCATCTATCCAGAATTGCTGTCGGTCGTGAGTCCCTGGTCGCCAGCGATTATTTCTCCACCACTGATCAACGAAATAGACAAGTCATGTACATTGTATAAACGCCCAGGTAACGTGGGGAGGTCTTCAATAGACTATAACCTCAGGGGTCAGGTTCCATGTATCCAATAACATAAAGTCCCACGAAATACCCGATCGGATTTGGTAAAAAGCTACATGACAGTGGCATATGGATACAGCACGACCTTTCCAAGCGAATTCTGCCCTGAGTATTCCTTAACACACTCTTAAAGGCATAGTTAATGACAATTCTGTGGTACTCTATTTAAGTTTAACAGCGGAAGCATTGTTTGGAAACAGTGCATCGGTGGTGAAGAAAGTGAGAGAAGCCGATTTCGTGAGAAGTAAGCCTCCTTAAAAGAGGTGGATATAGAGGTTGTACGAGATTTCCATGACACAAATCACATGAAAGAGGTCTTTGGTAGAGATTTCAGCCGTTGCAATCGCGAAAGAGCTGATTGCATTAAGGCAGAACTGCCCAGAATTGCTCTTCATTGTCGCTATGGGTCATAACAAGTTGTATGGTATACGAGGGGGCCATAGAATTATATTAGAGGGCTACCTCATGAGCCATTTCTGTCATGAACTGTACCATTGAGCTAAACTCAGGTCTAATAGTCTGCAAACGGGGAATTTTGCGGTATTCTATTCGAGAACGAGGAACAGCTGAAAAGCGCCGTTCAGGAGGCTCGGGAGCCGGTAACCATCTCAAAACTTGTCCAAAGCATGCCGCAGCTGATTGTTAAAAAAAGAGATGATTTAACTAGTTTCTAAATGTTATTGTTGCTTTCATATCCGCTCAATAAACTGCCAGGTAATTCCGACACCAAAGTGAACATATATTTTTAGGAAGTAGAAAGAGTTTGTAGAAAATTTTGAGATTTTTCATTTCACTTTTACTTGTAAATTTGAAGGTCGGTGCAATAAAACGTCGATGAAATAAACGTGGGGAGAAATCATCTTTCTATAGTAGAGATATTGAAGAAGAAGGGGTGATCTTACTTCTGAGGCATACTGTATTCTTTTGAAGACTGGCTTACTTTTCATTCGGAGTATGGCAGTAAATGAGAGCTGCTCTGTAGATGGAGCACTTTTTGTTCTCGTCTTTGTGTGAGCGGGTGACCGCCGGACCTACTTCCCTCTCATTCCACTTCAGCGCGACTGTGAGCATCACGGTTTCGCTGCCATTGTTGTTTGGGCATTGATACTAGTTGCTGGGCTTTTTAAAAAAGCCCAGCTCTCGTATGAAGAATCGATTCCACGCTCCTCAAAACCACATCCGCTAATGCGCTACACTTCCACGGGAGACGGGCGATAGGAACGATTTTGGGTGATCGATTGCCGCACGCGGCTGTCGCGGACCACTCATTCGCCGTTATTACAGCTCTAGCGTTCTTCATACAGCACAATCGATATGCGGTCATTATTTTATGCATATTTCTACTATTAGTACTTTTGTTCTTGTATTTCTTACCTACTGCTGCATCCTGCTACATTCCTTCGCGCGCGACGCCCCTCTAACCGCGACTGCGACCATTTCGTTCCTAACGCACCACACCCTACTTCCACGCTTCTAGCTTCAAGCTCTATGGCTCTTCGCTTTTTGGATTATTCAGAGATTGGAGTGCATCAGAAGAACGAGCACGGGGAACTGTCACTTTCAAAAGCCTCCCATCAGTCGTTTACTTTCATTTGCATATAAGTGTCTACCTGTTTCTGGGTATGGGAACATACGTACGTCCGAGGATGCGCGCGCAAATTGCACGGCGGAATTCGTGACGAATCGAACATTCTAGCGCCTACTATTGAGGCACAAACCTGAAGTAGAGTAGTTTAGTAGGGTCAGCCAATCACACCTATCTACACTACTCCCAGTTCGGGCCCCAATGATTGCCGCCAAGGGTTCAGATCGTCACGAACTTCGCCGCGCAATCTGCCGCGCGCATCCTTGGACGCACGGAAGTTCCGTCCCCCTCCCCTGTTTCTAAGTCACTTTTGGTTACATCATGTCCTTTGGTTTGAGATGTACCTCTTCGCAGTTGGATCACTGCGGTTCCAAAGTCCCGCAGTTGTGAGCAACGAGAATTTCTTTGCATAATGCTATCTCAGGGACGTCACTTTGTTTGGGCACTCTCGAGGAGCTGGCTGTCACCTCTTATTAGTGATTCTTTGGGGTGCACAAATGATCAAAGCCCGCTAGCAGGTAGTGGATCAATGGAATGGAGCATAGTATTTGTGCTTACGAATGTTATGCGTTTGAGAATCCTGAGGTTATGTGAAAGGTGAAAAGTCTTCGGCCTTATTCCATATTTACAACATTATTGACATCAGGCAGCATCAGTTTTATATTAACGCCTCAGTGACACAATCCCTGGAAGTGTTTGGTCTTAGAAACGAGAGTTCCGGAAGCTTTTACAAGTTTCCTTGAACAAAGACCCTCTTCTGCACTTTGGTTCAGATAATGTTCTGCAAATTGTGAATGAAGCTTCCTAACTGTGTTCTAACTCTTACCTCTCTCTCTAGAATGAACTTTTCTTACCTCTCTTCGTTGGACCTTTCAGACTAGTGGATTCCATAATAAGTTAGGACCGAAAAATGTCCAGAAACTATTGAAGGAGTTCAACCCCAACTAACACTGTTTTGAGACCTTTTGCTACGATCTTTATTGTCTACCCTAGCATCTGTTTTGACAGTTCTCACAGATCAATCACTTAATTGCAGATCCCTAATCTAAAAGACTATTCGAAACAGATGTTAAGGAAGACTGTATGTTCTCGAGGGCATTCCCGTCATAAACTGGGTGGAATATATGTATTCTCCCTCAGTGGAAACAGGCAGTCTGTACCAACATAAGCTAGAAATCGAGCGGTGCCATAATGGTCGCTGCACTGGAACTATGTATTGCACCTCACTCCTGATGCAATCGCATTTACCGTGGAACCGTGGTACTGGAAATATTGCTCTGCCAACAGTAGTGGTTAAGTTCATTCGAGCATCGTATCTCTCGTCACTCGTTTCCGGTTCTGTTGGTTTTTGTTTCTTCATTTCCCTTCTTTTAGATGTGAAATAAGAAATTAATTGGTGAGGCGAGTGAGGTAAGAATACAGCGCTTAGATCGCTAGGAAAATGTCGAAGCGGTGATAAGATTAGTGAAGTAGCATCCCCAAAAGCTTGAATAGTGAGGTGACTCAACCATAGCACGGGAGCAGGGATGACGCCTCTTGACCAACTTTCAAATCGAGTAGGCACGAGAAAGCTTTATTGGCCAATTCTGCATAATGAATGAAAGGGTATGGCGAAAGAAAAGGAGGCGCCAATATTTCAACTTTCAGCTCAAACTCGAATGGCCTCTTTGTGCCATCCAATTCAAGCCTTCTCAGCAGTGAAGTGAGATTATGAAAATGAAAGCCTCGTAGTTGTGCTAGACTCGCTTTAATTTGTTCCTCCGTAGAAAACTTTGAGGAGGATTTGATAATTCTTAATTATCAATGGGTAAATCAGTTTACCTGACAAAAATGTATCCGAGAAAGCAAGGAACGTCAAGTAGATCAGGCTGGATGACCGGTGCCGCTTATTCCGTGCCAGAACACAGAAAAGGAACATGTTGAATACGACTGACATCAGTGCGACAATGGCGCCAACGACGCCAACGAGTAAAAGCCTGAAAACGATCAGCTATAGGAAATTAACAACACTTCGCACGTTTCGCATTCATTCAAAGTTTTCAACTAGTCTCCTTTATGTTTTTAGTAATATCGAACGATATTTTCATGACTTTAAAATTAGCTGAATACGTTGAACTACACCGGGTCCTGAAATAACTGGTTTTACTAGTTTGTTACCTAGTTGATTTCTTTTTTTCCGCAAAATTTTACGATTTCAACTTCGATCGCTTAGGCTGGTCTCCATCTATAGTACGAAAAGGCTTTTACTGCAAGGACAGTTACGGTTGAGGCGAGTTTCCTGCCTTCTGTAAGGGAACTTTAGCGTGACTCATGAATCCTTCAAACCCTCAATCCCTACTTTCCGAAGCACATGTCGGCCAGTGAATAAGAAAATCCCTCTCACACGGTCACGAACTCGTTTGAACCACTTGTTTTTGGCGTGCCTTCTGACAAAGAAGGTGTCCCTTAAGAATTTAAGGGTGTACGCTGAGCAGTGGCGGTGTTCTGACTGTAGAGACCCCTAAAATCTGCAGAAGATTGGGAGCAGGTGTTGAACAAACACGTGGATCACATTATACATCCTCCTAACTTCTAAATTCTAATTCTAGAAATTGTGATATTAAAGTGAAAAGTTACGGAGTGCAATGGTCAGTCAAATAGACTTGCTCAGATGGTTTCGAGTAGGATAGCCCTGTTCTACTGTCTCCTGGAGCTCCTCGCTATGTTCATTAGCTTAGGAGAATCCTCAATATCGCTGAGAGCAAATATTTCTTGCATTGTTTTTAAGAAACAATATACACATTTATGATATAAAATGTGGCGAGTGTTTTATGGAAATTAATTTGGGAGAGACAGTCATTACCCACACCCTTATTGTTTCTTGGAAGATTCCAGCAGCTAGGAGAGTATTAAACCAACAAAATGAGCACTTACTCCAGAAGCTATAAATTAGAGCTTGCAACTTGTAAGAAGGGGGACCCTTGGGATTTTTCAGCTATGGGTTGAAGTGCGAAGTGTTAGTTTGAGTCACTGACTTAGCTTCTATTGGGTTGTAACATAAGTTCGTAGAGTTTTGCGTTAGAGTTATTTTACAACGACTTATTTTGTTTTTTAGCAAAGTGTACACATTCATTTGAAAGAGCTCTTCTTCCTCTACAAAACTGTTTTATTCGTTTTGAGGATAATCTAATTGTTCGTCTTTTTTCGGGCTCAGAAATGGAATATCCAGGAAGAAAAAATTAGCACTTTCGACATCCGCTTTTCTTTGGTTCTCGTCGAGGTCAAAAAAGCAACCGAAACCGCTCGGAACATATGCAGTGTGTACGGGGAAGGTGTCTTAGGTGTGTCTACTGAAAAGTGTGGGTGGCCCTAGGAAAGG